GAGCGCTGCACTAGTATCGCACAGGTCAGTGGTTCGAGTCCCGTACAGGCCTGATTTTTTTCAGGTCTGATTTTCGCTATTGCATAAATAGCGCTATCTACTGCGAGGATCGTGCATCATACGTATCTAATACCGCAGTTCAAAATATATGAACTTCATATATTCATTGTATCTAAATTAATAAGGTTGCACCTTGATTATCTGGACTCTAGGGGACGGGGCTGAGAAGTTTGGAAATTGAGAGTCTGGATAAAAAAATATGAATATTAATGAGTATCATTTCAAAATATGCCATTTGAAGTGTTTACAAATTCCAAAACTTTTTGGACCTAAACTGCTGACATAAATCAGTTTGTTTTGAGCTGCTATAACATTAGCTTGTTGCTAATTTTGCCATTCTTTGAAGCTGCATATAAAATAGCAGCAATGCTATTTCAGTACCTCTGCTTTGTTTGATGCGTTAAAGTTATAGATCTTGCATGTGACTAATTAATATTTCTGAAAAAATGGGATCAGAGAAGCAAGTCTAAAGAATGGAAAAATCCAGATCATTGAGGTCTGGATAACCAAGGTTTCGACAGCACATATCCTCTGATGGTTTCAATGCTGGGAACAGTTTGTGTCATAAAATAGGCTGTGATTCTTCATCGTGGTAAATAACATTTAAAGAGAAATGTAATTGTTTGTCTCACAAATTATGTGGTCACTTGGGATGAGGATCACAACATTGCTACTGCACACTGCTAGTCCTCTTTAGGTGATGACGTCAACTGAGTCTGTGTCACCTTCATGTGCTATTGTGCTCAGATCTCTGATCAGGTTCCCTCTGTGGTCTGCTGCAGCACATCTCTCCTGTTGTGATTTTTTATTGTCACATCCAGGCCTCCAAGATTTCAATTCCACCGGCCCTGTTGATGTAATTATGGTGAAGTCTTATGTGAACTGCCTCTTTCACCCTGGTGTCTAGAAATGGGATCAGTACGCAGTCAAAACGTCGTAATCCACATCCCAAGTGACCATAAAGCGACAAACAACTACATTTCTCTTTTAAGTTTGTATTGTAATGTGACAAGTTTGTTGCTTTTTTTTCTGCAGTTGGATTCCAATTCATTCTTTCATGATCTGGTCCCTGGAGTAGATAATGATGGCTCCGGAATAGTGGTTGCATTGGCTGCAGCAAAGGCACTCGGAGCTTTGAAAAGAAATGTGAGTTTTATTCCTTTAGACATTACTCAAAACTTCAATGTATTTATTATTAGTTTTTTTGCAATAATGTGCAGATTACAGTGATATCCACTGTGTGATTTTATACCTTAAAAGGACATTTACAATTTGAAGGGATGGGTGTAGAGAGAAATCAGTGCTTCGAGCACTATAATAATGACATTCACAGCTTTTTGAAATATTTTTTTGTGATTGTCACCCACCAATTGATTTGTTAAAAGAAATGTCTGGTCAAAATTATATTTAACTGTTTAGTTTGATAATTATATTTTTTTTTTCTTTTGTAATAAATTAGTTTGTAATCATTTTAACATTAAAACATTTAAAACTACAACATACAACTTGATTTTTACTTTTCAGGGTTCCTTACCAGAAACCAAGTACCACATAATGTTTACATTTTTCCAAGGGGTAAGAACATGATTGTTACAGATATTTGGCACCAAATTTTTCTCATTTGTTTACTAGAGGTTTTAAGTGACTCAAAGGCTTTGAGGCGAATGTCAAGGCCATGGGAGTGGAGATTAATCTCCGATGGACAAAGACCTTTTTTCTGGCAGGGGGGAGGGGGGTGTGGTGAAATTCAAACTTTTGTCTCTGCTTTTTTTAGGAATTTTTTTATTTTAGAGCTTATTTCATCATTATGGCATTGAAAATGGGTGGTATATATCCATAGCATGTTGTTGTTGTTGTTGTTGTTGTTGTGATAACTTACTCAGTTACCATGCATCATTAATTCTAGTCAACATTTTGTTTTTGTTTATTTTTTTCTAGGAAGCGTGGGATTATATAGGATCTTCAAGAATGGTGTATGACATGGATAAAAATGAGTTCCCTCCAGATCCTTGGAAGGTACAAGTAACATTTAATTACTCTGCAGAATGTATGTGTTGTAGCTGAAAATCGTAGGGGTTAAAGTGATTTCAAACTATAAAGGATGATAGTTT